GAGCCTGGAGGTATTATAGACTTTGCAAATTCAGTTTGCAGACATCCATTGTGTGTGTCCTCGGCAGTTTTTTCCTGAGGCTTTTTAATATTGTCCATATTTATATCGGAATTATATCGTATCGACCAAAATTAAGAAATATATTGTGATATAAATTTTTGCCATATCGTCCAGTCCTATCTCAAACCCTTGGTAGATAACAGAAAACATTAATACAAAAAATAGAATTTTTTTAAAATACGAATAAGAAATATGAATAAATACAATACAATATACAAGTAAAGGCACATGGCAGAGAGTGCAAATCAGACATAAAGTGCAAATAGAGCTTGTTGGTATGATAAGTGATAAAGAACAGCCTTGAACAGACAAGTCATGAGGTAGACTATAAGTAGGATGAGGTAATTAGCAGACCAATGCTAAAATCTTTCTAATATTATCATGTACAATGATGACAAGTCACCTGAAGTGCTTTTCACTGCAGTGTCCCTGATTTTTCCCCAGTTTCTTTTGGATCACAAGATCTGACAGGTACTACCAAATACCGTGACCCCTCTGCCTTGTTTCTTACAGTAAAATCTCCACTGTTTTTGGTCATGAAACCTTTTTGTCATGGTCTATGCTTGATTTTAAGCATAAGGCTTACTTTTCTGTTACTGTATAAGTAAAGCTCCTATGGAATTTGATGAAATGTTTGAATCATAGAAATAATTCCTTGTTTCTACAGCATTACCTCCATAGAATGAAAGTATGTATTCAACATACACAAGTATTCACATTTTAAATGTAGTACAATATATTACAGTAACCAAAACCTTAATGAATTTGACAACTGATAAATTAAAGAACATGCAAAAATTATTTCTCAGTATGTATGCCTTTTTTGATATAGGATATCTAACACCAGAATGTTCAAGTTATACTGGAAGGGGTGAGCAGCTCAAAAGTGGCACGCTGCACAGCTGTAGGACGTTTTGAGGTTCGGCCATTGGATACACTGCATATGGTACCACCGGTCACACATGTCACACTGGATCTGTAACATCAAAGGTCATAACAATGCAGCAACATTGGGTTTGATTCGAAAGGGGAAAAGATGTGGTTCTGTCACCGCCGGGTTGAGAATCGGGAGGGGCTCCTCCCGACTCGTTACTGGGGAGGCAGCGGAGACACCGGGCTTCTGACACGCCCTTCCGTTTGCGATCTGTCCGCATTTTTTTCCGAGCAGACACAAAAGAAACGCCAATGCAATCTGTTATTGTAATAGTTCTGTACTCAGCTCTGGTGCTGCTAACTTTTGCTGTTTATAAAGTTCACATGTCAGCCAGCAATATCAGCCGATATTGATCCATCAGACTGATACCAATATCTTGATTTATAACAAATACTGACATGTTAAACGATGTACCGTACGTCCATAGCTGTCAGTGTTTTACTAGTTTCTAAGAACAGATTTAACTACTAGTCAGTGATCATGACCTGATATTAACTTTAATACATTAATACAGATGGTCAGGATGGGATTTTTTTAATGTTTAAATGGAGGACCTCTTTCATCTCGATCTTCTTTTGCTGCAGATGGATGGTCACACTTCTCCTGCTCCTCTGCCTTGTACACCATCTCTCTGCTGTCTTCCAGGCAGACTTATGTGAGTAGATGCCTCACACTGACTCTGTGGGCTAATTAGCTGTATATGTTAATTCTGATCTGATTTATTAATTATATGATGGTGTGAGTGTCTGACATGGGTGTCGGCTGTAAAATCCCCCCTTTATAGGGGACAGTCGGGTCTCTCACTGTGTTCCTGTAACTTAGCTGCCTGTAGCTGCTCTGTGTGATGATGCTGATTGTGCTGAATTTAAGATGTGGTACGTAATTAGGACAAATTCCCCAGACATAATGAATCGGCCAATGAATGTGGAGGGATAGAATTGTGTGTAATTGTAATGCTGATCTTTTAATGACTTTGTTCTGTTTGTTAATCTATTGTAGCTGTTTCTCCTGGAGGGACTGTCACACTGCCCTGTGATGGAGGAACCGATAAAGACGGCAATGAAGTTGAGATGTCGTGGGAGTTTGAAGACACGACTGTCTGCTGGTTTCAAAATGGGACTTTGTGTGAACATCGTTTCTTTGTAAACCGGATTCAGCTTGGATCCATTCAACAGAAAAACTTCTCTTTGGTCATCAATCCTGTCAGACTGCAGGATCAGGGGGGGTATACGTGTCTGATCAATGGTGCAGAAATACAGATTAATCACCTCTTTGTTAGAGGTAAGTAAACCCTCTGACCAGCCACCTTAAGCCTTAGGAGACCCCGTCTCTGTGGGGCAAACCCTCCTCCAGCTCAGCCTGTCTGCTTGAGCAGAGCCCCCACCCAGAAGATGAGAGCAGTAGGGACCCCCCCTCTGCAGCTCCTCTCTGTTCCCAGGCCCCCTGTTCATTTGCGTTTCACACACTGCTGTAGCTCTGAGGCTCAGACTGACTCTGCTGCTTGTGTTCAGGTGTGTCTGTAGGAGGCCGGAAGCAAAGGGCTGCAGAGACCCCACCTGCAGGTTTGTGCAGCTTTACTTTACTCTGTTTTACTCTGTAATTGAGGCAGTTCTCATGCTGACATCAGGCCTGTTGGACATGATGCACCCATTAATAGGCCTCCTGTCGGCTCTGTCTGTCTGACAGGCCTGATCACAGGAGACCTG